TCCATTTGTGTCATCTTGAACGCCTTTCATCAATGTCATAGAGTTTATGGAGTATAGGTTTTTCACCTCTGGTTAAGTTTATTTCTAGGTATTTTATTCTTTTTGTTGCAATTGTAATTAGTGACTTTTAAAAATTTCTCTTCTTGCTACTTTATTATTAGTGTATAGAAATGTTACCAGTTTCTGAATATTAGTTTTGTAACTTTCCCCTTTATTGAATTTGTTTATTACTTCTAGTATTTTTTTCATAAAGCCCTTAGGATTTTCTATGCATAGTATCATATTGTCTGCAAATACTGACAGTCTATTTTTTTGCCAATATGAATGCCCCTTATTATTTTTCTTTTCTGATTGCTGTGCCTAGGACTTCCAGTTATGTTCAATAAAAGTAATGAGAGTGGACATCCTGACAGTAGAGGGAAAGCTCTCCACTTTCCACCATTGAGTATGAAGTTAGCTGTGGGTTTTCATATATGGCCTTTATTATGTTGAGATGTATTCACTCTATTTTGTTGAGGATATTTGCATCTCTTTTCACTAAGAATATTGCCCTATAGTATTCTTTCTGTGTGGTATCTTTGTCTGGTTATAGTATCAGGGTTGTTCTGGCCTCAAAATATATATTTAGAAGCTGTCTTTACTTTTCTAATTTTTGGAATAGTTTGAGGAGAATAGGTATTAACTCTTCTTTAAGTGTCTTAGAATTCACCCATGAATCCTTCTGGTCCTGAACCTTTGTTTTTGAATAACTTTTTGTTTTTTTATTACTGATTCAATTATTTTGTAATTAGACTGTTCAGATTTTCTATTTCATTTTTGATTAGATATGGAAAATTGTATATTTCTACATATTTATTCATTTTTAGTTCAGTTTATTGACATTTCAATTTTCAAAGTATTATTTTATAATTGTCTGTATTTCTGTGATGTCAGTTGTTACTTCTATTTCCTTTCTGATTTTATTCATTTCAGACCGTTTTCTTTTTTCGTCAATGAATCTGACCAAGGGTATGCCAATTTTGTTTATGTTTTTCTTGTTCTTTGTTTTCCTTGATTTATTTTCTTTTAAAATTTTTATAGTTTTAATTTATTTTTGAAACAGAGAGAGACAGAGCATGAGTAGGGGAGGGGCAGAGAGAGAGGGAGACACAGAATCCGTAACAGGCTCCAGGCTCTGAGCTGCCTGCACAGAACCCGATGCAGGGCTCGAACCCACAAATCGCAAGATCATGACCTGAGCCGAAGTCGGATGCTTAACTGACTGAGCCACTCAGGCGTCCCTCATTGATTTATTTTCTATTATTTAGCTCTCCATGTCATTTCTTTCTGCCCTTTTTTTTTTTGGTAACCATTTTGAGCTTTATTTGTCCTTTTTCTGGTTCTTTTAGGTGGAAAGTTAGAGTGTTTACTTGAGCTGTGTCTTGTTTCTTGAGGTAGGCCTGTATTGCAATAAACTTCCTTTATAGAATTCCTTTGATGTGTTTTAAAGATTTTGAACCATTGTATTTTCAATGTATTTGTCTCTACTTTTTTGGATCATCTTTCATTGACTTATTGACCAATTGGTTGTTCAGTATCATGTTGTTTAGCCTCCGTGTGTCTATTTCATACCATTGTGATCAGATCCATGATATGATTTCAGTTTTCTTAAACATACTAAGGCATATTTTATGGCTTAATATGTGATATATTTTAGAGAATGTTCTATGTGCATTTGAAAAGAATGTCTATCATCTTGTTTTGGGATGGAATGTTTGGCATATGGCTTTTATGGTTAACTGGCCCAATGTGTCATTCAAAGATATTGTTTCCTTATTGATTTTCTTTACATGTGATTTATTCATTGATGTATTTGGAGTGTTAAAGTCTCCTACTATTACTGTATTACTTTCAGTTTCTTTCCTTATATCTGTTTATATTTCCTCTATGTATTTAGGTGTTCTAGTGTTGGGTGTGTAGATATTTACATTTTTTTATATACTCATGTTGGATTGATTCCTTTATCGTTATGTAATCCCTTGGTATCTCGTTCTAATCTTTGTTTTACAGTTTATTTTGTCTAAGAACTGTTGCCTGCATTTAATTTTTGCTTCAATTTGCATGGTGAATGTTTTTCTATCCCTTCTCTTTCAGTCTGTATTCATCCTTAGGTCTGAACTGAGTCTCTTGTAGAAACATAGAGATAGGTCTTGATTTTTGGTATCCATTTCCCCCAATATATATCTTTTGATTAGATCATTTATATCAGTTACATTTAAAGTAATTATTAATAGGAAGAAGGAGTTAATATGGTGAAGTAGGAGTCTATAGACGTTCTTTATCCCACAAACACAGCTGAATTGAAGTCAGCTCACTTAGAACATCCAGGAAGTTGATCTAGAGACTGGCAGAAGTATGTCCATGGCTGGAGGGAGGCAACATGGCAGGTGAAAGGTACATGGAGGTGAATTGGGGAAGAGACAAACTGTAGCTTGGTGGAGGGAAGAGAACACTTTTCTTGTAGAGACAAAAAGGAGATAAAGTGAGAGGAGTTGAGAGAGTGTGACATCGAATTCACACAAGAGGAAAACTTTTCTGGACCACAGATTGGGAAGTGAGAAGTACTGAGTGTCTCAAGGTTTTTTCTTCTTTTGAAAACAGCATTAGGAATTCAAAGTGAGTTTTTGGTGCCTAACTTTCTCTATGGTAGAGCTGTGGTGTGCACTCCTGAAGAGAAGGATGCAGCTGCTCCGGTATTGCATAGCAAGGTGTAAGGATCTCCAGGGCACACTAGGTTAAAACATTCTCCTTCCTGGTGTACTTTTAGAAAAGGGTATATTGTCTCTACAAGAACAAAGGACGCTGTAGGCACTAGCATAAGTTCTTTCATCAGCAGGGGACAGAGGCACATTCAGAGAGCATGTAACATTTTGGCTGCTTTTAGCTGTGCTACAGCATACATTCTGCACACCACGCAGGTTTAAAACAGTTTTTCTGGGAAAAGGATAGACACAGCATGGGGAGGCTCTACTTCAGATGAAGGGGGCAGGTCTACTCTGTGCTGGGTTCTTTAAGACTTCGAGTTTTGAATCCCAGTAGTGCACCAAAGATAAAATGGAGGAGAGCTGTGGTATAGGGAGAGCTGACTAATCTTACTATTCTGTGAGGACTACTTGAACAGCAGAGGCTGTGAGATCCCTTGATGGGGATGAGAGATTGCGGTGGCACCATTTTCACCCCAACACCAATACAATGTGACTTCAGAGTGCAGGACAGTGGTCCCCAGTGGGGATAAGGCATGCTTACACTGGGCTTCACCCCACCACCCACCTCCATGCCTGGAAACTGCTTTGAGCTAGACTGACTCTGATCTAACACATCAGGTCACTCCTTCAGAAGAACAGTACAAGCAGCCCCTTCCATGCGCTGAGTATACTGAAAATCAAGAGGAAAAATAGTTCGGGAGAGGGAGGGAGGCAAACCACGAGAGACTCTTGAATGCTGAAAAAAACTGAGGGCTGATGGGGGTGGGGGAGAGGGAAAGGGGGTGATGGGCATGGAGGAGGGCATTTGTTGGGGATGAGCACTGGGTGTTATATGGAAACCAACTTGACAATAAACTATTTAAGAAAATAAATAAATAAATACACAGAAGACAGAAACTTGCCCCAAATGACAAGATGGAGCAATTCTGCCCAAAAGAAAGGTCAAGAAGCAATCACACCCAGAGACTTGCTCAAAACAGATGTAAGTAATATATCTGATCAAGAATTTAGAACAACAATCATAAGACTACTACCTGGCCTTGAAGAAAGCATAGAAGACACCAGAGAATCCTTAACTGCAGAAATCAAAGACCTAAGAACTAGTCAGGATGAATTAAAAAAGACATAGTGTATCAGAATCCATTCTGATCCCTTTCTGCGCTGGATACATGAGACTTGTTTTAAATCTAAAGGCACCTGCAGATTGAAAGTGAGTATAAAACCACCTATCATATTAATGGAGAGGAAAATAAAATCGGAGAAGCTATACTTATATCATACAAACTAGATTTTAAAACACAGACTGTAACAAGAGATGAAGAAGGTCACTATGTCATGATTAAGATATCTAAATATCAAGAAAATCTGACAATGTAAATATTCATGCCCCTAACTTGAAACACCAAATATACACAGCTATGAAGAAAGTCATTGATAATAAATCAATAATAGTAGGGGTCTTTAATACCTCACTTAGAACAGTGGACAAATCCTCTAAACAGAAAATCAATAAACAATGGCTTTGAATGAGACATTGGACCAGATGAACTTAATGGATATATTCATAATATTTCACCCTAAAGCAGCAGAATACACATTTTTACAGAAGGCACATGGAACATTTTTCAGGACAGATCACATAGAGGGTGACAAATCAGCCCTCAATAGGTACAAAAATGTCGAGATCATACCATGCCTATTTTCAGATAATAACCCTATGATGCCTGAGGTCAACGACAAGAAAAAGTTAGAAAGCCCTCAAATATATGTAGATTAAAGAACATCTCATTAAAAAATGCATGGGGTAACCAGGAAATTAAATAAATAAAGGAGTATATGGAAGCAAATTAAAATGAAAACATGGCTGTCCAAACCCTTTGGGGTGGAACAAAGGAAGTCCTAACAGGAAAATACTTTGCAATTTAGGCCTATCTCAAGAAGCAAGAAAGGTCCCAAATACATAACCTAAACTTACACCTAAAGAATCTAGAAAAGGCACAGCAAATAACACCTAAATTCAGCACAAGAAAGGAAATTAAGATTAGAAAATAAATAAATGGTACAAAAACAAACAAACAAAAAATAGTAGAACAGATAAATGACTTAAATGCTAGTAGTTTGAATGAATAAATAAAATTGATAACCCCTTGGCCAGACTTATCAAAGAGAAAAGAGAAAGCACCCAAAAAGAAAAAAGCACAAATGAAATAGGACAGATCACAATCAACACCACAGAAATATAAAACAGTTATAAGAGCGGACACTGATTAATGGCAGGCCCTTGTCTGTGGGCCTCTCAGACTGGAGCCATGCCAGAGGATTCGTAGCCTTGAACCATTGCCCAGCCTCCTGACCCGTGGGCTGTGGGCAGTGAGGGGGGCTGGACATTAGATTAAAAAAAAAACAATTATAAGAGAATTCTATGAAAAAAGATATGCCAAAACTCTGGATAATCTGGAAGAAATGAACAAATTCCTGAAAACTCACAAAAATCAAAATTGAAACAAGAAAAAATACAAAATATGAACAGACCCATAACCAGCAAAGACATTGAATCAGCTATCAAAAACCTCCTCACAAACAAGAGTCCTGGGCCAGATTACTTCCTAGGGGAATTCTATCACCCATTTGGAGAAGTGTTAATATCTATTCTTCTCAAACTGTTCAAAAAATAGAAATGGAAGGAAGGCTTCTAAACTCACTCTATGAGGCCAACATTACTTTGATTCCAAAACCAGAAAAAGACCCCACTAAAAAAGAGAACTACCAGCCAATATCCTTAATGAACCTGAATGCAAAAATTCCCAAAGTGATACTAGCAAATTGAATTCAACAGAATGTTAAAAGAATTATTCACCATGATCAAGTGGGATTTATTCCACGGATGCAAGGCTGGTTCAATATTTGCAAATCAATCAGTGTGATACACCACATTAATAAAAGAAAGGATAAAAAACACGATTCACTCAATAGATGCAGAAAAATCATTCAACAAAATACCGGATCTATTCTTTTTTCTCATTATTTTTCAATAGTTTATTGTCAAATTAGTTTCCATATAATACCCAGTGCTCATCCCAACAAATAACCTCCTCCATGCCCATCAACCCCCTTGCACTTTCCCCCACCCCGATCAGCCCTGTAATTATTAAATAATGTCCTTCTTCATCCCTCGTTACTACTTTTCCTTTAAAGTCTAGTTTGTCTGATGTAAGTATAGCTACTCCAGCTTTCTTTTGACTTGCAGTAGCATGATATATATTTCTTTATTCCCTTAATTTCAATCTGAAAATGTCCTCAGGTCTAAAATGAGTTTCTTGTAGACAGCAAACAGATGTATTTTGGTTTTTTTATCCATTCTGGTAACCTATGTCTTTTGACTGGGGGCGTTTAGCTCATTTACGTTCAGTGTTATTATTGAAAAATATGGGTTTAGAGTCATAGTGTCCTTTGTGGGACTCATGCTTGTGGTGGTGTCTCTGGTACCTTGTGTCCATTGCAACATTTCCAATAGCATGCCCCTCAGGATTTCTTGTAGGGCTGGTTTAGTGGTCATGAATTCTTTCACTTTTTTTTTTTTATTTGGAAAGACTTTTATCTCTCTATTCTGAATGGCAGGCTTGCTGGATAGAGGATTCTTGGCTGCCTATTTTTTCTGTCATCACATTGAAGATTTCCAGCCATTGCTTTTTGGCCTGCCAAGTTTCAGTAGATAGGTCTGTCACCACTCTGATAGGTTTCCCTTTGTATGTTAGGGCCTTTTTATCCCTAGCTGCTTTCAGAATTCTTTGTCTTTATATTTTGCCATTTTCACTATGATATGTCATGCAGAAGATCGATTCAAGTTACGTCGGAGGGGAGTTCTCTGTGCCTCTTGGATTTCAAAGTCTGTTTCCTTCCCCAGATTGGGGAAGTTCTCTGATATAATTTGTTCAAGGACACCTTCATCGCCTTTCCCTCTCTCTTCCTCTACTGGAGTTCCTATGAGAGGGATATTGTTCCCTTTGATTGTCTTGCTGAGCTCTTATAATCTCCTTTTGTGTTCCTGGATCAGTGTTTCTCTCTTTTTCTCAGTTTCCTATTTTTCTATAATTGTATCTTCTAAATCACTTATTCTCCTTTCTACCTATTCAATCCGTGCATTGGACACCTTCATTTTAATATGCATCTCATTTATAGCATTTTTTAATTCATCACAACTATTTTTGAGCTCTGTAGTCTTTGTAGCAATAGTTTCTCTGATGTCTTCCATGTCTTCTTCAAGCCCAGTGATTAATTTTATGACTATTGTTCTAAATTCTTGTTCAGTTATGTTGCCTATATCTGTTTGGAGCAGTTCTTTAGCTGTCCATTCTTCCTGGAATTTATTTGGTGGAGAGTTTTTCCTGTTTCATCATTTTGGTTAGTTTTCTATCTCTTGTTAGTTGTAAAAGCTTGTTATGCACTATGCACCTGTGAGTACTGCTGTATTAAAGAAGGCTCTTTGACTGTTCAGGGCCTGTCAGTTCAGAAGTGTTCTTTGAATGATGTCTCTTGGTTTCTCTTCTTGAGACCTTGGTTATTTTATTTCCCTACTCTAGTGGTACTTCAGACTCTCCACCATGCGTACTTTGTCTTGTTTCTTGAGGTAGCCCTGGAAAAGAAAACAGACCAACAGACAGGGAACAAAGGTATACAAACACACAGACAAATCCAACAAACCTGCAAACCGAAAGGGAAGAAGAAAAAGAAAAAAAGGAATGAACAGGAAGAAAAAGATGAAGAAGGAGCGAAGACAAAGAATAAAAATAAAAATAAATAAAAATTAAAAAAGAAGAAAATAAATGAAAAAAGAAAAATCCCAAAAGACAAAGGACAGTGTAAAAGCATAAAACCAGGAGGAGGGCAAGATGGCGGAGAAGTAGGAAACTCCGTACATTTCACTCGTCCCCATATATCACCTGGAGAAGGCCTGAGGCCATAGGAACCCTTACAGAATCCAGGAGTTTGGGAGGAAAAGGAGACAGAGTCCGCTGACAAAACCTTATAACATGAGTGTGAAATGGGAAGATAAAATCGGGCTGGGATCAGAGACACTGGGGGAGGGGGATCCCCCTCTGCGGGGAGCCGCAGTGAATCTAGAGGGGTGAAAGAGTTACCGAAACTGCTTAAGACACTGTCCCTGTCGCTGGAGAAGAGAAAAACCTCCGCTCGGGACACAGAGGGATAAAGTGATCCAGTAAATAAACTGATCCAGGAACACAAATGGAGAGTTTGAGAACTTAGCGATACAATCAAATGGAACAATATCTGTATCATAGGAATCCCAGAAGAGGAAGAGATAGAGAAAGGTGCTGAAGGAGTCCTGGAACAAATTATAGCAGAGAACTTCCCCAACCTGGGGAGGGAAGTAGATGTTGAAATTCAAGAGGCACAGAGAACTCCCTTCAGACGTAACCTGAATTGATCTTCAGCATGACATATCATAGTGAAACTGGTAAAATAGAAGGACAAAGAGAGAATTTTGAAAGCAGCTAGGGTGAAAAGGGCCCTAACATACAAAGGGAAACCTATCAGAGTGGTGACAGACCTATCTACTGAAACGTGGCAGGCCAGAAAGGAATGACAGGAAATCTTCAATGTAATGAACAGAAAAAAATAGGCAGCCAAGAATCCTCTATCCAACAAGCCTGTCATTCAGAATAGAAGAAGAGATAAAAGTCTTTCAAAATAAACAAAAATTGAAAGAATTAGTCACCACTAAACCAGCCATACAAGAAATCCTGAGGGAGACTCTCCGAGGGAAATGTTGCAAGGAATGCAAGATGCTAGAGACATGATCACAAGCATGAATCCCACAAACGGCCCAATGACTCTAAGCCCAAATATTTCAATAATAAAACTGAATGCAAATGGACTAAATGTCTCAATCAAAGACAGAGGGTAGAAGATGGGTATAAAAACAAAATCCAACTATTTGCTGTCTACAAGAAACTAATTTTAGAATGGAGGACACATGCAGATTGAAAGTAAGTGGATGGAGAAATATCTATCATACTAGAGAAAGTCAAAAAGAGAGCTGGAGTAGCTATACTTATATCAGACAAGCTGGACTTTAAAGGAAAGTCAGTAACAAAGGATGAAGAAGGGCATTATATAATAATTACAGGGTCTATCCATCAGGAAGAGCTAACAATTACAAATGTCTATACACCAAATATGGGAGCACCCAAATACATAAAACAATTAATCAAAACAGAAACAATCTTATGGATAAGAACGTGCTAATAGCAGGGGTTTTAATACTCCACTTAGAGCAATGGAAAGATCAACTAGACAGAAAATCAATAAAGACACAATGGACTTAAATGACACATTGGACCAGATGGATTTGACAGATATATTTAGAACTCTACATCCTGGGGCTATAGAATTCACAGTCTTCTCAAGTGCTCATGGCACATTCTCCAAGATAGATCACATACTGGGACATAAAGCAGCCCTCCATAAATGTAAAAGAATTGAGATCATACCATGCACTTTCAAATCACAATGCTATGAAACTCGAAATGAATCACAAGAAGAGGTGTGGAAAACCCCCCAAAACATGGAGGTTAAAGAACAGCCTACTAAAGCACTAATGGGCCAATCAGGCATTAGAGAAGAATATTAAAAACTATATGGAAACAAATGAAAATAAGAATGCAACAATCCAAACTCTATGTGATGCAGCGAAAGCATTCCTAACAGGAAAATACACGGCACTCCAGGCCTATTTCAAGAAATTAGAAAAAGCACAAGTGCAAAATCCAACAGCGCACCTAAAGCAACTAGAGGGAGAGAAACAAGAGCACACCAAACCCAGTAAAAGAAGAGAAAGAATAAAAATCAGGGCACAAATAAACAATATAGAAACCAAAGAAACAGTTGAACAGATCAATGAAACCAAGAGTCAGTTTTTTGAAAAAATAAACAAAACTGACAAACCTCTAGCCAGGCTTCTCAAAAAAAAAAAAAAAGAGAGAGAGAGAGAGAGAGAGCACTCAAATAGACAAAATCATGAGTGAAAATGGTCTGATTACAACCAACCCCTCAGAATACAAACAATTATCAGGGAATATTAGGACACTATATGCCAACAAACTGGACAACTTGGAAGAAATGAACATATTCTTAAACACACACTCACTACCAAAATTCACACCAGAAGAGATAGAAAACCTGAACAGACCCATAACAAGTGAGGAAATCCAATCAGTTATCAAAAATCTCCCAACAAATAAGAGCCCTGGGCCAGATGGTTTCCCTGGGGAATTCTACCAGACATATAAAACAGAATTAATACCCATTCTTCTCAAACTATTCCAAAATATAGAAATCAAAGGAAAATTTCTGGACTCACTTTATGAAA